TACTAATGTCCATACTCAGACCCATCAACTCACCAAGATGCTAGCCTGGCTAGACTACACTGGAGTCCTCCCTCAGATTTTAACCGGGGGGGGGGGCTGGACTAGACGACCCCCCTCAGAGTCTCTTCCATCTCTACATTTCTAACTCTTGCTGGAACCACGACCCAAGGAATTAGATGCAGATATATAAATCTGGCAAGACTCACAGCATTCATAAGGGGACAATCGGACCAGAAATTATTAAAAGAATGGGGATGTGCTAAAGAGTATATGAAAAAAACATTGTTCTGGAGTAAGCATATCGGTATGTAATGAATGATGCTTTGCAGGGTTAAAGAAAGAGGAAAAATGGTGTAAAAAGTATAAAGATAGAAGTAATCCACATTAGACACAACAATTTAGAAAGAGTAAAAATTTCGAGGTCTTAGAACAAAGGAAGGAAGTCAATATGTGTATATGTAATGACTAGATTAGAATGAAGATATGGTTTTATTTGTAGATGTGTGCTTTTTCTTTTGTTTTTCTTTTCTGTTTTCTGTTTTTCTTTCTTGTTTGTATAGTATTATTTTGGATACAATGTTTGTAATTTTTGTTGTAATTTTGCATTGAAAATAAAATTTATTTATATGTATATAAAAAGGAATTAGATGCGACTCAGGCATCATACAGACTAACCTGCTAAACTCAATGTATTCATGTGATTTGCTTGCTCAGGACTACGTGCTGCCTATAACCCTTGCATTTTGAAAAAGCTCCAGCAAGTCTTTGCCGTTAAAGTTGAATGGTTATGAGCCATTATGCATAACAAGGGTCTAAACCTAAGGCCCGGGGGCCGGATGCGGCCCAATCGCCTTCTCAATTGGGCCTGCGGATGGTTCGGAAATCAGGGTGTTTTTACATGAGTAGAATGTGTCCTTTTATTGAAAATGCATCTCTGGGTTATTTGTGGGGCCTGCCTGGTGTTTTTACATGAGTAGAATGTGTCCTTTTATTGAAAATGCATCTCTGGGTTATTTGTGGGGCATAGGAATTCGTTCATTTCCCCACCCCCCCAAATATAGTCCGGCCCACCACATGGTCTGAAGGATGGTGGACTGCCCCATGGCTGAAAAAGGTTGCTGACCCCTGTTCTAACCCAATGCCTAATTTCTGACTTGTCACATGGGGGTTACTGTATTGGCCCGAATATAAGCCACACTCCCCCCCCAAAAAAAAATCTGACCGCAAAAAGTTAAAGTGTGGCTTATATTCATGACCTTACGGTATGCAGCCAGGAAAGCGGAGCAAACAGGGCCAGGAGTGCGGTGAAGCAGTGCTGCCCCACACGTTATTCCCCCTTCCTCTTCCCCAAGGCCAGAAAGGGAGAGAGCGAGGGAGGGGAAAGGCAACACAGTACACACCCTCCCCCCAGTATGCAGCCAGGAAGGGAGTGGCTTATACTCAGGTATTTTTTCTGCCCCCCCTTCCAATTTTAAAGCTGCAGCCAATACGGTATTCTCAAAATTCTGCTGACTCCTAGATAGTATATCACTACTATAGTGCGTTCTTGCACAGAGCCCCCCCCCCCTCCCTGAAAATAGTCAGGTTTCATTTAAGATGCAGCTCCCCCCACCACTTACCTGGGAGTAAGCCCCATTGAATCCAGTGGGACTTACTTCTGAGTAACTACCGTATTTTTCGCTCTATAAGACGCACCAGACCATTATGTTAATTTGGAATGTGCAGAATATATATATATATATATATATATATATATAGTAACAAATTCAGGGAACTGCAGAAAGAGAGGGAAGGAAGTCAAGTTTTGAAATGTTAAAATGATTGTAAAACTATTGAAATGTATAAAACTGAAATAAAATCATAAAAAGAGAAAAGAAAAAACTTTTTTTTGTGTGAATTGTCCCCAAAACATAGCTAAAAGCTTAATCTTTTTTGGAGCTTTTGCAAAAAACAACAAGTGTCCGGATTTTCACTTTTTTAAACCCTATTTTATATAATAATAATGATAATAATAATAATAATATATTTTACATCCTCCTCTCTTACCAATTTCCCAGCTGAAATCTCTCTCTTGTACCAATGCACACCTGAAACTAATAACCTGTTATTAGCTCTGCTGGGAAAAATAAGAGGTATAATATGCGTCCTTGCCTTTTCTGCCTCCGTGGGGCTATCAGCAGCTTAATGAGATAAGGGACAGATTCCCTTCCAGAAAGCAGCTTGGGCGAGCCAAGGGTTAACCACCTCCCTCTGCCAATTTGGTCCTCCCCTGCAGGTGATGTGAAGCTTCATTGCTATTTAAAGGCTGACTTCTCAAACTGCTGGCCTTCACTGAGATGAGCAAAGGCTTGGGCTGGTGGGGTGTGGATGTTGCGGATGGAGGGTCCCTCGGTGCAGAAATCTAGATAACATTTATCAAAGCACATAATGCTACTGGTAGTTCCCAAAAGGAAAGGGCTTTTGACAGAGCAGTGCTGCTTTGCTGCCTGTGAAATTTTTGCTTTTTAAAAAATATACTATTTTAATTCTACTAGACCTCGCTTGCTTTTGAGCTTCTCTTTCATGTTCTTAGTTTTTTGGGGTCAGTTTGTTTTTTTTGCAATTTTATCTGTTTTAATTTGAGCCTCCAGTGTGAGTAGGTTGGGATATCAATATCAGCAACAATTGTAATAGATGTGAAGATGAGGGAAGCTGTAGGTTTATTGTGGGGGAACATCTGCTTTGAATGCAGAAGGTTGCAGGTTCAATCCCTGGTATCTCCCAGTGAGGTTAGGGATCTCCCTTGTCCAAAATTCTGCTGTTCTCGCCAGTCAGTGCAGAAAATGCTGTTTTGGGTGCATCTAATTATTATTATTATTAGTTGAATTTATATACCTCCCTATACCCAGGGGGGTCTCAATGCTTCTAACTGAGAGCACAGGAAAATGACTTATTATACAAAGTTTGCTGGTCTGGCTTCTTCTCTTCAGTTATAGGGATTTTATTTTATTTTTTAAAGAGAAACCATTATTCAAGTGAGCTCTGCAATTTAGGTCTGCAGGAAAGCCCCAAACTGAGGCAAGATTTGCTGCAATGTTAATGTTCTGAGCTTGTCCATACTCTGTTTAGGATGTATATTAAATAAAACTATATAAAAACCAAAATAATAATCTAGCATGTAAAAGAGCATGACTGTAGCAAGTCTCATGTTTCCGAGCCTCAAGTTTGAAGTTGAATTCCAGAATACAAACCGACCTCACTAGTTTTAGCTAACAAAGAGAGGGAGGGCAGGGGCCGGGGGGGGGGGACCCACCACTCTTCAGTGATATAATTGCATTTATTCATGTCTGTGCAGAAGCAAGTCCCCATGAGTTCCATAGGACTTACTTGCAAGCAACACAAGTGCAGCCTCTTTTATGTGATTAAACACAGTATTCCTGTGGTTTCAGATTAACCCAGGATGTTTGCAGAAACAGCCTCCTGGCAAACACATTTTTCTGCAGCAGATGTGTTCTTGCACTATCCTGTTTGCAGAGGATTATTTTGCAGATAAAATTCAGTCTGGGCTGCAGCCTTGAAAACCACAAGGTGGGTGTGGAAATCGCAAAGGAAGGAAAATAAGAATAAAAATTCTGAGGAGGAAAGCTTAAGAACAGTCTGGCTAACTCGAGGAAGATCCTGCATTTTCCAATTAAACTGCAGTTGTTTATTCAAGTGAATCTGGATGAGGAGGGAGGGACTGAGGGCGGTTTTCATCAGTTTTCACCTTGCTAAATGCAAGGTTTTGCAACTAAGGCTTTTGGGTGGAGGAATTTTTAGCATTCAATATTCATTGCGAAAGTTATTGGCTGCAGCTGCTTATTGCAAACAAAACACAAAAAACACACCAGCAGAGGCATTTGTAGAGGGCGGAGAGCACAAAAAAGAACTTAGTTTGGGAGGGTCTCTGAGAGCTTTGAAAAGGTGTGTCCCTTCCTAGGCAAATGCAGAGAGGAATTTGAAGTTTGCCACAAGAATATTGGATAGTGTTACAAGAAATTAAGCAATAATTGCTCCCGTTCTTTATGCTATAAAAACTCAACCATGTGATACTGTTAGTCACTCAGAATGGCTACCTTGGTTTGTGGGCCTCAGCTTTTTGAATGGTTTAACTGGTCTTTGAAGGGCGGGGCTTGGTGGGGATACTAGTTTAGCACAGATTTATTTGCTGTGTCCTCTCACCCTGAGATTTAAACCATTCCCTGGCTTGGAATCTTTGGAAGGAAGCTGAAAACTTTGTAGACTTTTAAGACCCTGCAATCCTAGATTATTTTCAGAGTTGAGATTTTCCTTTTATCTCATTTTTATTAAATCTCCAAAACATTTATTGTCTTATAAATTCCCCTCAACAAAATTTTCTTTTACTTCCCACCCTTCTTTTCCGATGTTTGCTTTTTGTTAGCTGTTTTACAATACATATGTTTTTATTACCTGGACTTCACTATAATTCAATCTTTCAGTAATCAGCGGGAGATCTCCCCATAAAATTTAAAACTGCTTTTAAATCATTTTGCGTTTCTTAGGCTCTAACCTACTTAAGGGGGCTGTGTACCTCTCACCTGTGTCCAAGGGACAGGTAATTTAATGCTGTAAATCGATCTTGTATTAAATAATTGCAATTTGAGAGTTGAGTTTCCTGAATTATAGCAAGAAGGTAGTGACCGTTGTTGTAATCAAAAATTGCTCTTTTCCCTTATGGGGTATCCAAGAGCCCATATAAAGTCCTTACATAGGTTCCCTATTGGTGGGAGAGAATAACAGAGGCCAACCAGAGAATATTGAGAAGCAAAGCAGCTAGTAAGCTTGATCTTTATTGATCTGTTGCAAGAGGGTGCTCCCCTAATCTGCAGGAGAGAGGAGGAACCCAGAAAAATGGCGCGCAAAGCCTTATAAAGACTTTTGAATTTGCCACCCTGTAGATCAAGACCACCCCCAGAAACATCATACATACATCACAGAAGGGGTGTAACCTAAGACCATACCTCATACCTACATCACAGGAAATGCGGTCTTAAAACAGAAATTTGAATGTTGTTTTTCTCCTATCGTTGTTTATCTCCTGTCTGGCAGGTTACTTGATTGGATTTCCTGGGGACCTGGCCATTCTTTTGTAATGATAAATACTTAGTTCCTGGGCCAAGTCACAGGCTCACACCCTATTCATATCTTAAATGTGCCCTTAGGACAGGATTTGTGAGAAAAGAGACAATGGGGAGGTTTCCCACTTTGACCTTGCAGAGAAAACATTTGGTCAGTTTAGGAATCATAAGGGGGCTGTGTACCTCTTACCTGTGTCCAAGGGACAGGTAATTTAATGCTGTAAATCAATCTTGTGTTAAATAATTGCAACTTGAGTGTTGAGTTTCCTAAATTATAGCAAGAAGGTAGTGACTGTGTTAAAATCCAGTGAGGCTAAAATCCATTTGGATAGATTTATTCAGACTGTATTAGCTAGGGGAAATGCCTAAATGAATCTTGGGCCAGGGAAAATAGAATATGTGTTGGAGAATACCAGTTACAATACCAGTTGCAAACATTACAATATGCAAGATTAAAATTAACTATAATTTGACCAATCCTGAATCCTGCATTGGTCCACTGGAATTCCCCCAGCCGTTTTAGTTTAAGAGAAGAACAGAACTACCAAATCTGAGTGAAATTGCAGGACGCAGCCTCTCATGGTCTTCAATGCACGTTGCATAGATCAATTTGGTGTCAAGAATATGAGCGAAGAAAATCCAAACAAAAAACTCTTTCTGGGTGTGGGGGAAATTCCCCCAGAAGGAAAGTGGGGTAGGAAATGGAAGGTGAAATGGTGAAGTTTTAAGCCTTGCCAAGGAATAGGCAGAAAACATTATTTGCATATGAAATAAGAAAAATATATATGCAAGAGTGCAGTCTCTTCCAAATGGATAATGAGCTGGAGTTTCAGCCCTAAACAACTGGTGCAGAGGAAAATTGCCACCAAAATCTTCAAACTTGAAAGGGGTGGGACAGGAAAAAGAGACTTAAAACAACAATCATGTTCCATTCTTTAAAAATTTGGGGACATGTCCACCACACGTGGAATAAGGTTCCTTCATTTTGTTTACATCTCCAACACATATTGCTGTTATTTATTTTTGCTAATCTGGATGGGGTCAGGTACCATCTGTAAATCATTTTCCTGGTTTTCTTTTATCAGGTAGTACGTGGTGAATTTTAATTCTTTTCCCCATAACTCTTCCCATTTTTCCATCTCAATTGGATAGCCAAAATCATTCTGTTATCACCGGGTTGGGCATTCCTTTCCTTTTGGGTGAAGACAGAGGCAAAAGTAGGTGCAAAAGTAGGTGCTGAGCCATTTCATCCAAGAACATTTCTTTATCTTCTCCAGGCAGAAGACCTACTACTTGCTTGTTCTTGCTTTGAACATAGCCAAAGAAACTCTTTATTTTTGTTTGTAATCTCTCTTGAAAGCCTGAGCTCATTCTGAGCTTTAGCCACCCTGGCACTTGCTACTTCCGTGTGATTCTTCAGGATTTCCCCTTTCTTACACATGCGCTTCTTAACTCTTGGCTCATCTGCGAGCTCCTTATGTACAGGTGGGGCATAAATAATAAAAAGGATTTCTGACCATGGGATCTGTAGTAATGCTCCGGCCACTTGCCTCCCTCACCTGTCCTACCCACCCAGCTGGATCAGGTTTAGAGAAACGGCGGTCGGAGGCATATACTTTTTACAGGACAAAACTCATCAAAAAAGGTAGTTGCTGCCACCACTCCCTTGTACCAGCGGAGTGGTAGGCTTCACCCAAGGGAGAAGGTTATCCTTCCTAGTTACGGCTGCCCCACCCTGCAGTTGCTTCCACAAACTGCAGGCAGAAATTCAACAAATTCAGTAGGCGGCTGATTAGTCAGGCTCTGGATTCAGGCTTTCCCTCAGAATGGCACACAAGACAAAAGAAAGTTCTCTTTTTAAAAAATTTATTTAAAAAACAAGATTAAACATACTTAAAAAGCAGGCACATCTCTTATACGTTTCAAACAGAAAAAACAATAACATTGTAGAATATGGCTAGCTAACATAGAAAGTGAGAACAAAGGCAAAGTTAAAATGGTTGTAAAGTCCTCAGTGGAATCCGCATCTCAAAGATAGTAAGAATCTTCATCACAAAGACACGCATGTGAATGCAACAAGGCGACCATCAGGATGGCAACTGACAGAAGGGCGAATTGCGGATTGCAGAGCGCGCCTACAGCTTCTTTCCTAGGGTCTTTATTTCTAAAACCTCACGTGGAAACAGAACTCAGATCCAATTAAAATTCTTGATTATGTTTAAATTCACCAATGGTCAGCTTGTTGTTTAGTCATTTAGTCATGTCCGACTCTTCGTGACCCCCTGGACCACAGCACGCCAGGCACTCCTGTCTTCCACTGCCTCCCGCAGTTGGGTCAAACTCATGCTGGTAGCTTCGAGAACACTGTCCAACCATCTTGTCCTCTGTCATCCCTTTCTCCTTGTGCCCTCCATCTTTCCCAGCATCAGGGTCTTTTCCAGGGAGTCTTCTCTTCTCAAGAGATGTCCAAAGTATTGGACCGGGGGGGGGGGGCTAGGGAGTCCTTTATTTTTCAGTTTTACAGTTGCATATTCTTTTCCATAGTATAATGGAATAATCCAGCATTTCATGACAGTTCTTTATACATCTTATTTGGCTGCATATACATTGATTCCTTCACCCAATTTTCCACTCTTTATCTTTCAT